ATGACTTTCCTTTTTGGCTGACATCACCGAGCCCTCAGTATTTATTTATTTATGTATTTATTTATCAGCCTACCACCATCTGTATCCATTCTGGAAAGTAACGCCCACTTTTTATGATCCAATCAACAGAGATGGATGAAATAGTCCCGCCCAACTTTTCTTCTCATTGAACATCCAGTTTCACTCAGAAATATGTCAGATTAAGAAAGTAAAATGTGCACGTTGTGTCCAGGGTTTATTATAGATTAATCAAAAATACAGTAAAAAAAACATTGATATTGTGGAAAAAGTATTAGAATTTTTTTTTTTTTAAATGTGTATTTTAAAATGTAGTTAATTCCTGTGATGGCACAGCTGAAGCAAAGCTTTGAGCAACCATTACAATACACATTTCTTATTATTTTCTTATTGTCATTGCTGAAAACAGTTTTCTGCTTAATATTTTTGTGGAAACTGATTTTTTTTTTTTTTTTTCAGGATTATTTGATGATTAAACGGTTCAAAAGAACACTATTTATTAACAGAATTTCAAATTATAAGTAGAATATTTGTAACAATATCAATGATTTTACTGTCACTTTTCATCACTGCGAGTCAAAAATAAGGCATAAGAAAATAAATAAAATAAAATGAAATAAAAATTTGAAAATAAAATAAAATGTGCATATTTTATGAAAAATACGCATTAACGAGCATATTTCGATTGAAGTCAAGGTAGCCTGTGAGCTGAGATATTATTTATGGTTGGCCTTACTTCTCTCTCAATCTCACGCTCTCTCTTCTCTACCTTTACATGATGCCTCATTATGTCTCCCGTAGGGTCATCGTTATTTTTCCTCGTTGTGGGACCCTGTTCAGACACAGATAGATTTACCATTCGAAGAAGACAAATGGACCAGGCAACCGTGCTGGTTTCAGCTATCCTGTGTTTTCTCTGCATTCGTTTCCAGTGTGACCGCAGGCCATTGATTTAAAGGCCATCTACATTTGTGTTTTTTTTCATCGAGGGTGATACATTCTGACCCTACGGGTTCGAATCAAAGCTGAGTTACACTTCAGAGACTAAAGAACGGGTCCAGGTTATGCTGAACAACAAAGAGTGAAAGAAAGAGAAGGAAAACAAGACAACAGAGGTGATCAAACAAGTTGACCATAGTGCAAGAGACATGTGCTGCTGCCTTTGCACTCTCACAATCGCTGTTGGTGTTTTGATCTACTCACAGCAGCAGTTTAAAGATAAAAGGGCTCCAAAGTGGAGTGCGTCAAAACCAGCCTCGGGAGCATGATGGGAAACGTATTTATAAATTGTCGGGTCAGGGTTGATGCTGCCGGTAGCAGGCAAAGGATGTGTGGGCAGGGAAGGTGGATTGTGGGATACTGTGCTTCAGAACTCCGTTGTATATTTGTTTGATTCCGTTAACATGGATCAGATATGTGTCTTTTATTCAGAGTTGGTGTTAAAGGGGCCATTTCATCTGATCTTTTCAGATAAAGTTCTGTGCACTTGAAAATGGGCTACTGGAGCTTTAAGAACTCAAAGCTCCTTCCCAGTTTAAAATATGCATTTATGTATTTTTATTTTTTCCTCCTGAGATCCACTCATTAAGGTCATACAGTTTATGAATATTTACAGTAATTTATAAAAAAAAAAAAAGGGATATTAATTACTACAAATTTTCCCGTTTTACCTTAAACATATTAACTTTAATGTTATTTTTTTTGTTGTGTATATGTGTGTATATCTATATGTGTTTGTGTGTGTGTGTGTGTGTGTGTGTGTGTGT